GCTGAGCACTTCCCAGCACGGCGGGTCCCAGGAGGTGCCGGGGGAGAGCTGCCTCCCCTCTCCCACACCTCGCCACTTTTCAGTGGGGAGCCGGGAGCCGGTGCTGATGAGCACTTCTGTGCTTGTTCAGATGTTTTATTTTGTTCCTGTCACAAACAAATACATTTTAAATTTAAAAAGCCATGACAAAAGGCCCGTGCTGGCCCAGGGTGTGTGGGCGGGGAGGTGCCACAGTACCTTGCTGCATCAGTGCTCCCATCCCAAACCAGAAGCTGTTCAGTAGGGTGAAGTTATTCTCCACGATGTCTGATCCTGGGTTGCAGGGATGAGCATCATACCACTCGTATGGGCTGAACCTGTGGCGGCACATGGAAAGTGAGAGCTTGTTAGTCGGGATGTGGCATGACAAGACCCTAAAGAACAGGAAAAACAGAAAAAAATCAAAGACGACGACAAATTCAGCCAGGATCTTCAGAAGTGACCGGCCTGGCTGTAAGCCCCACATCCTGCACTGCAGACAGAAAGGAAAACTGGGAAGCCAGGTCCTTCTGAGATACCTCAAGTTGCTTCCCCAAAGCCTTCGCTCACTTCGGATCATCTCTGCAACGCTACGTCACACGACAGCAACTGGAACACATGACTATGGGATGGGATGCGGTGCAGTGACACAAACTCTAGCCCGAGTATGGAACAGCTCCAAAACGTGGGGAAAAATGGCATTTCTAGATTACTGAGGAGAGATGCTGCAGTCGTTCTGCAGTGGTAGCTGGGACAAACCACAGCATTTCAGGGGACACTCTTGCTAGTGCGTTTGGGAATCGGTGGAATTTAGCTAGCTGAGAAGCAGAACTTTCCCCGTCCTGACAAGCAGGGAATCCTGCACAGTCAGGGCACCAGCACAACAGCAGAGACTGGTGTAGGTTTGCTGTGGACTGCCACGATGCTCGGCCCCCTTGCAGGGGGTGGGAGAGCACTTGCTCCCTGTGGGGGCATATTTCCATGGACAGCCCTGTAGTTCTTGGGCAAAACCGAGCGAGTTCTCTATGATCATCTCTCTGCAAATCCTGCCTCAGATTGGTAGGCAAGCACCGCCGTGAACATAGCTCTTTCAGCCAGGATCTGGGGAGGATGCTCAACAGGAGAGACGCTGATATTTTTAGAGCTGTTTGTTTAAATTTTCTGAGAGTCCCAAATTTTGCTGAGATTAAATTAAAAACATAATTGGTATAATTGTTTTTCAACCAGGCGTTAATTATCATCTCTACTTCCTTCTGAAATCCCTGTAGCTTCACAAAAGCCCTTTCTCAAAGCCCAGCCCACAGTTTGTATTAGGAGATCTTTCTTGCTGTAATTCTCTGCCAGACGTGCTGCTACCCAAGGAGATGGCTTGTTGCTTGATTTCAGACAGTTGGATGTATTTGGAGAGAAGAGCCACAGCTCTTTCCCAGGTGCTTCTCGGCACAGAAGCTCCCCAAGCAAACAGCTACCCCTGCCTCTGCTCTGCGAAGTCGTGCTCTTCTCAGAGCCCGGCATGTGGGGGCGTTCCACGAACACGGAGCTGCGATCCCCAGGCACATGATCCGAGCAGGGCGAAGCGGAGGAGTGTGTCCGCAGGGAAGACCCCATCACGGGGGACAGGCTAGGTGCAACACACAGGACTTGAGGTTTTAGAAAAGTTCATCCTAGGTGCATCTGTTCCACTTTTTGCTTCTATTTTCCCCATGCAAGATAGAAGGTAATGACCTCTCCTTTCCTTCTGCTTTTATCTCACCTTTCTGCAGCGGGGCCCATTGCCCGCTCTGGGTTTGCAGAGTGCACAACCAGAGGCCGTGCTCAGGCTGCACCCTGACGAAACTGCTCGTTCATCTGCGTAACGGCTGGGCCGTTCTTACTGCCCACCTCCCTCTGCTTTTCTACGTCAGAGAAAATCAGAAAGGAAAACAAGAACCAGGTGGAATTCAGACCTGGCTTTACATGCTGCCTGTTCCTTTAAACATGCTGTAAATTTATGCCAGAGGTCTATAAAGGATGGTGCCTAGGACCTTTCTGTTGAATAAAGCCAGAGTTAAGAATTAGATGAAAACTTTCTTGTGCTGCCAACGACAGAATGTGAAACAGAAAGGGAATTGGTGAGATCAAATGAGCCTGACAAGATGACACACTGAAGAACTTCAAGGTCTCCGAGTGAAAACCTACTGGTGCTGCTCAAATTACAGAGAAACATTCAGAAAACTGCAAAGGAGTGACAGTCTTCAGTGCTTGAAAAGCGAGTGGGACCATTAGCGGAAACAGAGGGGTAATGAAGGAAGAAGCGAGTGGAGCTCGTTCACCCCGTGCAGCTGGAGCCATAACAAATGGCGGCTGCTCAGGATTCACCGTGGGCCGGCTTCCTTCTTCCTCAGGTGCAGAACGGGGTCTGAGAAATATTTCATCAAAAACTATGATTCTTTTCTTGTTTCATTTTGGCCTTTTTAGCAGGGAAATGGGAGCATTTCAAAGAAGGTTTAAAGATCTAACACAAAATGCTTTTGAGTCTAAATTGCATCTCTGGAGAAATTCCTTATGGATGAGCCAGTCCTCTTTGCAATTAAGATGAATATTAAACCCACCCATCCTGTTGTGCACCCGAAGGCGATTAGCTGTAATTTGAAGGCCATATGAGTCTGAGGACGGGTGACAATTCAAGTCAGCCAGCTGCACAGCCCGCTTGCAACCTTGCACCAGAGTCACCAGACAAATTACCCCCATGAAGCCTTAGAAATTGCTAGTCTTTATGGCTCTTTGGGGGCTGGGGTGGTTAGGAGCAGAGGCTCCATCAATAACTAAGAAAGACTGATTAAAAGGGGAGATGGATCAAATACATCCTTTGCCTGCCTCTAAATAGTCCCTAAGTTGGTTTTAAGTGGCATTGACCTATGATTATAGCGTCAGCAGAGGACTCTGGTGCCTAGTTCAGGAGACTCATGTCTTTGAATTAAGGCTTTGCTATTTGACTGTGGTATTCTCCTGAGAATTGAATTTTAGAGGCCTTGCTGGGGTCAAAAGCAGATATTGTTTCCATTACTTCCGAATGCAGTAAATATTTTCCCCATGAAATCTCTTGCTCTTCCTGCAGAACCTTAATTACACCGAATACTTGGTGTTCTTTAAAAGAACAGGAAGACAGAAGAAATGTCAGGAGCAAAACACATGAAAAAGAAACTGTAATTGCAATGTTTTATAGGTTCTATTTCAGCCAAAAAATAGCCTGTTAGGGAAAAACTTGTATGACATTATAACTGCTATGATGTAGAGAGATTATGAGGCTCATTTCAGGTCATTTCAGAACAAAAACAGAGTTGAACACACAGTTCTTCAGGTTTTCATCCCTCAACACCAGCACAAAGCCCAGCACAGCGAGTGGGTGAGACCCTCGTGTCGTCCCAGGGCAGTCACCAGAGGGGTGTCAACGCAGACACCCAGCTCCTGAGTGTGACTGCTCCGTGTTTGGGCATACACGGGGGGCTGGGTTAGCCAGACAATTTAGGATGGATTTGGCCATCATAGCAGTGGGGAAAAATAAACTCATAAACATAAAATTATATTTGAATTGTCATTCCAGGCCGCACAAGCAGTCTAATACTTTATGGCATCGGAGCCAAAGGCGTTGTGGCAGCAGAGCCCATCTAGCTATGTTCTGCTTGGCTAACAGAGACATAAAGTGAAGGAGTTCTATCAGTCATTGCTATATTTTTCCTTTTCATAATTACCGTGG